TACATCTTTTTTCCATCTTTATTGCCTTGTTTGGTTTCATGTATACAGTTTTAGCATTTCACTTTAATCTGTTTAAGAGTTTTAGTAGTATATTTAAAAATTATTTACTAGTGATTTCTCTAGAACTCACAATGTGAACATCAACTTACCAAAACATATTTAAAATGCTTATTAAGTTCCAGCAAAATAGTGAAAGTTTCATAGAATATAACTCTATTTGCTGTCATTTTTATGTTATCATTGTTGTTTAGTCACTCAGTCATGTCCAACTCTTTGAGACCCCATGGACTGGAGCTGCCAGGTTCTGCTGTCCATGGGATTTCCCAGGCAAGAATACTGGAGTGAGTAGCCATTTCCTCCCCTAGGAGATCTTCCTGACCCAGTGATCTCACTCCAGCTTGGCCGGTGGGTTCTTTACTGCTGAGCCACCAGGGAAGCCCATTATTTTTGTGCATATACATGTTAAAAAGCCAACAATATCTTGCTATAATTATTACTTTACATAATTTCTTTATATAAGTCTGAATAAGCTTTGTCAAGAAAGGAGAACAAGTATGCTTATGGAGTTTGTTATACTAACCCTCTTATTTGGGACTTCTCAGGTTGTGCTGGTGGTAAAGAACCCGTCTGCTAATGCAGGAGACATATGAGATGCAGGTTCGATCCCTGGGTGAGAAGCTCCCCAGAGGAGAACATGGCAACCCATTTATATATGTTCTTGATCCTCTAAAACAATTTTATATATATTGTTTTGGGCAATTTTTAAATAATTTAAGAGAAGACAGTGGGGTAAATAGGCAGTCATGCCATCTTGTATAACTACCTACATACTTACATTTACTGTTGTTTCTTGTATATTTGTGCAGATTTGAATAGATGACTGGTGTCACTTGCATTAAGCCTGAAAAATTACCCTCAGTATTTTTTTAAGCTAGGTCTGCTGGCAAAACTTCTCTAAGTTTTTGTCTTTATTTTATAATGAAATTTTGCTTGATATAATATTCTTAGTTGACATTTTTTTATAGTACTTTGAATATATCATGCCACTGCATTTGGTCTCTATTGTCTCTGATGAGATGCCAGCTGTAAAACTTATTAGGTTCCCTGTACGTAACAATTCATTTTTTATTTTGTCGCTTTTTTGATTCTCTCTTTGCCTTTAGTTTTCAGAAGTTTGACAGTGATAGCTTTTCATTCTTCTTGATACTTTTTTCTTTATCTGTATTCAAATCTGTATTACTCTACCAAGCTAACTGATTCTTCTGTCTGCTTATATCTGCTGTTGAGCCCCTCTAGTGAACTTTTCATTTCAGTTTTTCAACTGAAGAGTTTCTATTTGTTTCCTTTTAATATTTTCTGAGTCTTTATTTATATTCTCTATTGAGACTTTGTTCTCATATTTTACTTCTTTAAACATTGTTTCCTGTAATTTTGGGAACATATTTATGACAGGTGATATTTGTCTTTGTCTACAATGTCTAGGCTTCCTTGGGGTCAATTTCTATTAACTTCTTCCCCACGTCCCTGTGTAGGTTTATACTTTTCTATTTCATTTTCATGCTTCATACTTTTTTGTTGAGTAATAGATATTTTAGATAACATATGGTAGCAACATGGATAACAATACCTCCTACCTCCCATTAGAGGAGTGTTGTTGCTATTGCTTGATTAGTCATTTGTTTGTTTTATTCTTTGACTGAAGTAATTCTGTGAAGTCTGTTTTCCTCACAGGGTGGTGACTCTGATACTCCTGTTCAAAACTTCTTTCTTATGTTTATCTGCTAGCTTGGCTACCCAGGTGTCACCCTTGTGTTCAGCTCAGTTCAGTCGTTTAGTTTTCTCTGACTATTTGCGACCCCATAGACTGCAGCATGCCAGTTTTCCCTGTCTATCACCAGCTTCCAGAGCCTGCTCAAACTCTTGTCCATCGAGTCGGTGATGCAATCCAACAATCTCATCCTCTGTCATCCCCTTCTCCTGCCTTCAATCTTTCCCAGCACCAGGGTCTTTTCTAATGAGTTAGTTTTTTACATTAGGTGGCCAAAGGTTTGAAGCATCAACTTCAGCATCAGTCCTTCCAATGAATATTCAGAACGGATTTCTTTTAGGATTGATTGGTTTGATCTCCTTGCAGTCCAAGGGACTCTCAAGAGTCTTCTCCAACACCACAGCTCAAAAGCATCAGTTCTTTGGCATTCAGTTTCCTTTATGGTTCAACTCTCACCTCCATACATGACTACTGGAAAAACCAGAGGTTTGACTAGATGGGCCTTTGTAGGCAAACAAATATCTCTGCTTTCTAATATGCTGTCTATGTTGGTCATAACTTTTTTTCCAAGGAGCAAATGTCTTCCTATTTCATGACTGCAGTCACCATCTGCAGTGATTTTGGAGCCCCCCAAAATAAAGTCTGCCACTGTTTCCATTGTTTCCCCATCTATTCGCCATGAAATGATGGAACCAGTTGCCATGATCTTAGTTTTCTGAATGTTGAGCTTTAAGCCAACTTTTTCACTCACCTCTTTCACTTTAATCAACAGGCTGTTTAGTTCTTCTTTGCTTTCTGCCATAAGGGTGGTCATCTGCATATCTGAGATTATTGATATTTCTCCTGGCAGTCTTGATTCCAGCTTGTGCTTCAAACAGCCCAGTGTTTCTCATGATTTACTCTGTATATAAATTAAATAAGCAGGGTGACAATATACAGCCTTGACACACTCCTTTCCCGATTTGGAACCAGTCTGTTGTTTCATGTCCATTTATAACTGTTGCTTCTTGACCTGCTTACAGATTTCTCATGAGGCAGGTCAGGTGGTCTGGTATTCCCATCTCTTTAAGAATTTTCCACAGTTTATTGTGATCCACACAGTCAAAGGCTTTGGTATAGACAATAAAACAGAAGTAGATGTTTTTCTCGAACTCTCTCACTTTTTTGATGATCCAACGGATAATGGCAATTTCATCTCTGGTTCTTCTGCCTTTTCTAAAACCAGCTTGAACATCTGGAAGTTCACAGTTTATGTACTGTTGAAGCCTAGCTTGGATAATTTTGAGCATTACTTTGATAGTTTGTGAACTGACAGTATGCAATTGACAAGCTATAATTGATATTGTTTTATGTTATAAAAATACTAGCTTTTTTCACTTATTATGTTTATAGGCATTCACTGCTTGAGTCAAGGTTAGGCTTGTTAAGTGATTAAAGCAATTTTCTTACAGCAGCATGTACTTATTTTATTCTAAAAGAAGAAATACATACAGTTTTTCTTGTTGTTGTTGCTTGTAACCTGTAAAATTCAGTTGTTTTGCTGATGTAAAATACCAATAACTCACTTGAGGACCATTCTACCTCCTGAAAATGCCATATACCTGCTTCTCAAATGTGTCAAAGCACCTGATAGACTTGTTCAGAGCTGAAGGGGCAAGTAATTGACTGGTCTTGGACAATAGATGCCTTCCTAGGGCCATAGCTGAATGTGCTGGGAAGCAGCATGGAGAAAGAGAGCATAAGAAGATGGAAAACAATCTTTTATTTAAAGGCAAAATGCCCAAATAAATTTCTGGCATAGCTAATTTCTACTATTACTTATTAGCTTATATATGATCCCCTAACCTTATTATTTATTTTTCCTTAAGGGGCTGATTTGGATTGGCTTGTTGAGAATGGTGTCTATTATCTATTAAGTCATGAGAAAGAGATTTCTGTGGTTACGTGTAAACTTTTGATAGGTCTGCAGAGGAAGAGATGAAGAGGGTAGTGAAGAAGTCAGCCACAGTCTGGTCTATGTGAAGGTCATACCAGCTTCATTGTACACCTTGAAGACTTTCTTGATGGTGTTGACATAGGCAGCTGTTCTCAGGTCCAATCCCAGGTTACACTTCATGGCTATGTGCATGCTTTGCCTGGCAGAGTGCTCCATGGTGTAGCTAAGTCAGAGTGCACAATGTCTTTGTCAGATATACTGTCTTGGAACTCTGCTGTGGGTACAATGGGAATAGTTCCACCATATTTTCCAAATTTCTTTTCCAAACCCTCTTGAACAGACATGAGCAAGTGGTAGTTAGAATCCCTCTCATATTTGAAGGTCAAACATCCATAGCTGACATGATTTGGATTCTTTAGCTACTCAAAGTAAGATACTGTCACTACTCCAGCATTCAAGTAGAGATCTGGAATAACCATGATGTTCCTCTCTAGGAAAATCTTATCAGATTCTGGAGTTGTTGGTCCTTTGGCACCTTCAACAATGATCTTGGCTTTGACTCTTGGTGCACTGGACTTGGTCAGCTGCTATTCGCTGGCAGCAGGGATGTCACAGTCAACCTCCAAAGACTCTCTTTTTGTAAGTTTTTGCTTTGGGGAAGCCCAGAATTGTTTCATGTTGCAATTTGGAGTCTTCCAGCTCCTTTGGGTCAATACCATCTGGATTTCATATGCTGCCATCTGACTCACCAATAGCAACACATTTAACACTAAAACGATGTAAATATCTCATAGAGTACAGGCCCACATTACCAAATCCCTGAACGGCAATTGTTTTATCTCCAAATCCTGGTATCATTCCTAAAATACTCACGTAAGAAGATTCATTGATGTTTTCAATCCCATGGAAAACTCCCTGACCAGTAGCAGAGATCCGTCTGTGAATTCCACACTGACTGATGGGTAACACAGGCATGGGCATTAACACCAGAGTGCCCTATAGTGCTAGCATGGGTGTCAGCAATCCAGGACATCTCCCGCTGGCCTGTGCTCATGTCTCGGGCAGGCACATCAATGCCAGGACCAATAAAGCCCTTCTTTGCCAGCTCCATGGTGAACTTCCTTGTGACCTTTTCTAATTCATTATCAGTATAGTTTTGGGGATTTATCTTAACATCAGCTTTGGCATCCCTAAATGGCACATCAACCACTGCACACTTATATGTTATCAGAGAAGCCAGAGCTTTAACTTCATCTACACTCACATCAGTGCTATTTGGTACTGGCTGTGCTGGGCTCAGTAGCCCTCGCTGACTTCCCAGGAGCCGTTGTCATGCCAGATGGGGAAGGACAGGCTCAGCACATGATTGCAGGGCTTGATGATCCGCAGTATGTCACGCACCCGGTTCTGCTTCTGCTCCTCAGTCTCCCGGGTCTTGAGGTCCTCCACCAACTTGTCCTCCATGATGCTGGCACCACGGTCAAAGAAGCCCTCCACCATATTGAAGAAGTTGAGGTCGTCCTCGCAGTTGGCCACCACCTCGCTGTAGTGTCACCGAGCGGATGGCACAAGCCCTGGCTGCAGGGCGGCGATGGCTGCAGCACACTGCCCTGTGGGCCCGGCCCAGCAGTGTGGCGGGGTCGGTAGCCACAGAATCCACGGCGGCAGGCTCAACACCGGGCAGCAGCAGCGCTTCACTCAGGCACCGGTACATGGCGACAGGATGGAGGTGCTCTCACGGGCCCAGAGACGGACGGAGGGAAGAAGGGCCTGGTGCGGGCTGCCCTTTTAAGCCACAGCTTCCTGCCTTGAATATTGAGTTTTAAGCTAGCTTTTTCTTCTCTTTCACCCTCATTAAGAGACTCTAGTTCCTCTTCCCTGTCTGCCATTAGAGTGGTATCATCTGCATATCTGAGGTTGTTATTTTTCCTGGCAATCTTGATTCCAGCTTGAGATTCATCCAGCCTGGCATTGTCTCACATTTTTCTTTTTAAATAAATATATTGGTATAAAATTTATATACGATAAAACTCATTTTAGACTACAGTTCAACAACTTTTGACAACTGTTTATATCAGTGTAATCATCGCTATGATCAAGATATAGAATACTTCTACTAACTCCAAAACTTTCTTCTTACTCCTGTGTTTTCAATCTGCCTGCCTCTACTCTTAACCACAAACAAGAACTGATGTAGTTTCTAACATCCCAATATTTTGAAACTAATATCTTTATGTAAACATAACAGCAATGAGGATCAATTTTTAAAATTCCTTAATAAAACTGTCTCTATCATTTTAAATTAAATAAGATAATCTAAAAATCTGGCTGTAAATTTAAAAGTTTAAGAAAATGTGTATACTAAATTGTTCTTGATTATGAATAATATTATAAAAGTATTACAATAACATAAATGATAAAATAACGTCAGGAAAAATACTAAACTATAACACCACATTTTACATTTTTTTGGCCTAAGGCTTGGATCCACATTCAACTTTAAAGTTCCATGGGAGCCAAGTCTTTTACTGAAGTTGATATTCCCAGCACCTAATACAGTACAGCATAGCAAATGTTCAAAAACTGCTTAGTTACTGATGTAGATAACTAGATCTAATTTTATGCTGAAACTGAGTAGCTCCTAGACCTGTTCCAATTAACAAGTTAAATAACTATTGAAGACTCAAAAATCATTTTAAAAATGCTGTGCAGGTAACCAAATCTTCCATAATTTTAGAGCTTTAACCAAAGAATGTTAAAAAAAAAAAAAACTAAGATGCTGATAACATGGAATAGTGACTTTTTAGCCTACCATTTAAAAAAATAAATCATTCTTCAGTTGTTTGGTACTTTGATTTCTATTTTTGTTGCTTTTGGTTTCAGTATCACTCAAAAAAAAATCATTGCCAAGATAAATATTGAGGGTCTTCTTTCTCTGTTTTATTCTAGGAATTTTTTAGTACCAGGTCCATGTTTAAGTCTTAGATCCATTTCAAATTATTTTTTTGAGTGGTGTTAGATAAGAATTGAGTTTCATTTTTTTGCCTGTATTTATCTCATTTTCACACCATTATTGGAGAAGGAAATGGCAACCCACTCCAGTATTATTGCCTGAAAAATCCCATGGATAGAGGAATCTGGTGGGCTACAGTCCATGGTGTCACAAAGAGTCAGACACAACTGGACAGGACAGTTATTTTAAAACTCTTGCTCTGATGATTCCAGCCTCCCCAGCATGTAGTTCTGATGCTTGCTCTGTTCAAAGCATATATATATTATTTTTTGTAATTTTTTTTTCTTGACAGCCAGACATGATGTACCAAGTAAAAGGAACTACTCTAAATAGTACTTTATTAATGGGATTCTAAGTTTTAGGATAAGAGAAAGAAATCTATAGTCGTATGATTAGGTCTCAGTCTTCTAGTGAGCTTATGCTTCTAGACTGTGAACTTCACAAGTTTCTGGTTTTTTTTTTCCTCTTCCCTTAGGTTGGAAAGAATGGCTAGAGTGGACTGGAGTTGGGTATTTTCCTTCCTCCAGTATACTCTGATAATATCCCTGTAGGCTATGTTCCCCTTAACTAGTTTCCCCAGAAGGCTGGCCTTTTTATGAAGAAGGACATCTGGGGTATTTTAAAATGGGTCTTTTTCCCCTCCCACTGCCAGAAGCATAAGTTGATTTTCTCTAATAATTATTATGAAAACTTGGCCTCCCATATGGATATAAATGGAGAAGGAAATGGCAAGCCACTCCAGTATTTTGTCCTGGAGAATCTCCAATGACAGAGGAGCTTGGCAGGCTATAGGCCATGGGATCATGAGTTGGACACAACTTAGCTACTGAATATGCACGCTGGATGTAAAACTTACAAAATGTGGGGGCCATCCTATAACAGGATCAGTCTGCATTTTTAACTGTCAGAATTGACCATGGTGAGCCTACAGAAATTCATCCATTTAAGATTTCCTACCCTGGAATAGTTTCGAACAACTTTCTGCTCCTGAGGGTCTGCTCTTATCAGAGTTTATCAACAGTGACTCTTCCAGTATTTGCCTTTCTCTCCAACTTTGGGAATGGCAGTTTGCCCTGTGTCTCCCCTTCTTTTATAGATCCAGGAAGAGTCGACTTTTCAGTTTGTAAGGATGGACTGGCAACTGCCAAGCTCTTTACTTGAGAAATCAGAAATCATCAGTTTGAACCTATAGTGAGAGCAGAAGGACACTAAGGGAAAAGCTCTATGGCCATAGCTCTCTTTTCTAGAAGTTCTAGTTTTACAAAAAAGTTTTTTCTCTCTCTCTCATCATGAAAATGAACCTCAGAGCTCAAACTATCTTAGTGTACAACACTACTTTTTTTAACCTTTTCATTTTTTGAGATTCTTTTATTTAAGTTTTCAAGACTTTCAAGTTCAGTTCAGTCACTCAGTCATGTCCAAATCTGCAGCCCCATGAACTGCAGCACTCCAGTCCTCCCTGTCCATCACCAGCACCTGGAGACTACTCAAACTCATGTCCATTGAGTCGGTCATGCCATCCAACCGTCTAATACTCTGTCATCCCCTTCTCCTCCTGCCTTCAATCTTTCCCAGCATCAGGATCTTTTCAAATGAGTCAGCTCTTGGCATCAAGTGGCCAAAGTATTGGAGTTTCAGCTTCAACATCAGTCCTTTGAATGAACACTCAGGACTGATCTCCTTTAGGATGGACTTGTTGGATCACCTTGCAGTCCAAGGGATTCTCAAGAGTTTTCTCCAACACCACAGTTCAAAAGCATCCATTCTTCTGCACTCAGCTTTCTTTATAATCCAATTCTCACATCCATATATGACTACTGGAAAAACCATAGCCTTTACTAGATGGATCTTTGTTGGCAAAGGAATGTCTTTGCTTTTTAATATGCTATCTAGGTTGGTCATAACTTTCCTTAAAAGGAGTAAGCATCTTTTAATTTCATGGCTGAAGTCACCATCTGCATTGATTTTGGAGCCCCCCAAAATAGTCAGTCACTGTTTCACCATTTATTTGCCATGAAGTGATGGGACCAGATGCCATGATCTTAGTTTTCTGAATGTTGAGCTTTAAGCCAACTTTTTCACTCTCCTCTTTCACTGTCATCAAGAGGCTCTTTAGTTCTTCTTCGGTTTCTGACATAAGGGTGGTGTCATTTGCATACCTGAGGTTATTGATTTTTCTCCCTGCAATCTTGATTACAGCTTGTCCAGTTTTGATTACATCCAGTCCAGCGTTTCTCATGAGGTACTCTGCATATAATTTAAATAAGCCAGGGTGACAATATACAGCCTTGACACACTCCTTTCCCATTTTGGAACCAGTCTGTTGTTCCATGTCCAGTTGTAACTGTTGCTTCCTGACTTGCATACAGATTTCTCAAGAGGCAGATCAGGTGGTCTGGGATTAACAACTCTTTAAGATTTTTCCACAGTTTGTTGTGATCCACATTCAAAGGTTTTGGCATAGTCGATAAAGCTGAAGTATATGTTTTTATGGAACTCTATTGCTGTTTTGATGATGCAGTGGATGTTGGCAATTTGATCTCTGGTTCCTCTGCCTTTCTAAAACCAGCTTGAACATCTGGAAGTTCATGGTTCATGTATTGCTTAAACCTGGCTTGGAAAATTTTGAGCATTACTTTGCTAGGGTGTGAGATGAGTGCAGTTGTGCAGCAGCTTGAACATTCTTTGGAATTGCTTTTCTTTGGTATTGGGATGAAAACTGACCTTTTCCAATCCTGTGGCCACTGCTGAGTTTCCCAAATGTGCCAGCCTATTGAGTGCAGCACTTTCACAGCATCATCTTTTAGGATTTGAAATAGCTCAACTGGAATTCCATCAACTCCACTAGCTTTGTTAGTAGTGATACTTTCTAAGGCCCAGTTGACTTCACATTCCAGGATGTCTGGCTCGAGGTGAGTGATCACACCATCGTGATTATCTGGTTCGTGAAGATATTTTTTGTACAGTTCTTCTGTGTATTCTTGCCACCTCTTCTTAATATCTTCTGTTTCTGTTAGGTCCATACCATTTCTGTCCTTTATTGAGCTCATTTTTGCATGAAATTTTCCCTTGGTATCTAATTTTCTTGAAGAGATCTCTAGTCTTTCCCTTTCTATTGTTTTCCTCTATTTCTTTGCATTGTTCATTTAGGAAGGATTTCTTATCTCTCCTTGCTATTCTTTGGAACTCTGCTTTCAAGTGGGTATACCATTCCTTTTCTCCTTTACTTTTCTCTTCTCTTCTTTTCACAACTATTTGCAAGGCCTCCTCAGACAGTCATTTTGCTTTTTTGTGTTTCTTTTTCTTGGGTATGATCTTGATCCCTGTCTCCTGTACAATGTCACGAACCTCCATCCATAGATCATTAGGCACTCTATCAGATCTAATCCTTAAATCTATTTCTCACTTCCACTGTATAATCATAAGGGATTTGATTTAGGTCATACCTGAATGGTCTAATGGTTTTCCCCACTTTCTTCAATATAAGCCTGCATTTGACAATAAGGAGTTCATGATCTGAGCCACAGTTGGCTCCCAGTCTTGTGTTTGCTGACTGTATTGAGCTTCTTCATCTTTGGCTGCAAAGAATATAATCAATCTGATTTTGGTGTTGGCCATCTGGTGATGTCCATGTGTAGAGTCTTGTGTTGTTTTAAGAGGGTGTTTGCTATGATCAGGGCGTTCTTTTGGCAAAATTCTGT